GGCTGTCGTGCTTTCCCCGGGCAGGGGAGCTGGCAGGAGGTAGAGCTGCTGGAAATTGCTTTGCTCTCCTGAGAGGTGTTGTTCCTCAGATAAAGGTGTGACAAAACAGCAAACATTACCATTATAGAGCCATAGTGTGCCCTGGAGAGGTCCAGCTGCCTCGTCAGGGTTTGCTTAATGGTGCGACAGAGAAACGCTGAACAGATGAACCAGCAGGCAACGTTCATTTATTCACATATTTTTTTATTAAGTATGACTAATGTACAAGCCTCGTTATTTGCTAAGGGATTTTCATTCCTCAGAGCCCCTCCACACTCCCACTCTCACTCCTGCTCATTGTGGCTCTCGTTGCCTTCATTTTCCCTCAGAGCATCCCTCCTGTCCCACAGGCAAGAGGACACAGGGACCAAGGCTTTGCCCTGTGTCACTGTCACCCACCACCCACCCCATGCTGGGTCTGGAGCCCTTGAGGTGGGTCCTGAGTGTTCACCTCCTCCATGGGGAAAATCCCTGCTGGGCAGTGCTGCTCCTACTTATTTACTTATTTACTGTGTTCTGCAGGGAAGGGTTTCACCACATCTGCCTTCCAGGCTTGGTTATTCATGAAGTTTAAAGTTCAGAGTCAGATATTCACATGCAGTGAGGCAGAGGCAGGGCTGGGGTGCTGTGGCGGGGCTGGGGAGCTTCCTTGCACTTGTTGAGGTTTGAGGCTTCTTAATTACATAGAGAAAAGTGTTAATCACAAGAGAGAAAGGCCCCTGGGTTGCTCTCTTCTCCAGGAGTGCAATAAGCCCAAGGGGCAGAAAGTCACTTGCACATGGGACAGGTTCTACCCTGAAAGCCCTGATTGCCTTGGAGTTCTGTGGTGTGTTTTAGTGGATTTTTCACAGGCAAAATATATGCTAAGTTCCTGCTCATGGCTGGCTGGCAGGCAAGAATGAATGGCCTTAATATACTGAGGAGCAAGTGCACATTATTTCACTCAGACAGTCTCTAGGAAAGATCTCAAAAATAGCCACAAATCTGCATCTACCAGAGCAGACAGCCAAGCAGACAAAAACCTCTCTCCACAAATGTTTCCTGATTTTCAAGCAAACTCCATTTTTACTGCATTTATCCTATCTACAGTATTTGCACTGTTACTGCTATGGAGAAGCAACACTTCCATGCACCAAATTTTAGAGAAGGAAGCATTAATGACCACAAATAAAAGCAAATAAAAGCTATTTCATAGCGTTCTGCGTGCAATTCATAGCAAGGGTTTCCCTGGTCCTGGCTCTTTCTAATGCAGATTGTGTCAGGGTTTCATTCTGAACTCAATGCCTCACATTAGAAAATTTCCAAATTAGTTGTAACTAATTTCCAAATTAGTTGTAACAGTCCTTCATCCTGCGACAAAAATAGTTGAAATGAGGTAGAAGCAACATTGGTTATCCCAGAAGGCTGCTGAAAGCTGGGATGTGGATACAGAAGCCAATCCTCCAGGCACCTTTCTCAGCCCCCTGATTCCAGATTTCACTCTGAAATCACTGATTTCTCACTCTCCAGGCACTCAGAGAAGCCCTGAGATGAGTGACTTCAGCAGTGGTTCACAGGGTGACAGGGTGGCACGTTGAGGAGATGCTGAGGAAATGGAGTTAGTTCACTTCCACCCCTCTGTAGCCTTTGCCAAGGACTGGGGTAGAAGAAATTCTGTATTTCTTTGCTGATGAGCAATTGAGGAACTGAAATCACCAGAAAAGATATTTTAAACACACAGATACAACGTGAAAAAAGTACCACATTTCCACACATTTCTTACTTCTCTGGTGTTCCAGTTGAACCTTCTGTAATTCCTCATCCCGTCGGGAAATAGCTGGAGAGATTCTTTCGTATCTGGGAAGGGAAGAGAAGCCAATTCTGTGAACTTATTTCCCAACAGATGTAAAATAAGAAGCCCACCAGTATTACTAGTCAGGGGTGATCCATGGCTTAGGTGGCAGGTTTTCCTTTGAAGTAGGTTGGGAAAATGAAGTGGCCAATTTGAAAGGCTGAAAGCTTCCTCTTGCCTTAGTAGGAAATGTTCTGGGGCTGCTCAGAGGACGAAGTGGGAACTCTGCGAATTACAGGAAGGAGCAGGTCAAGCCAAGGGCTCGGCTGGGCTGGGCTGAATCATCTTCTCCTTTTACCAGAGGAGACAAGAAGTTGCTCCACGTGCCTGGTGCTTTGTGCTCTGCACTACCAGGGCATCAGCAACACCAGGTTCACAACCCCACTGAGGTGGGTGGGGGGGGCGGGGGGAACTTTGGTCCCATCTAGACCTTTCCTAAAAATAGGTGCCTAAAACCACGTGGATTTTGCTCTCTCAGGACCAACTGATGTTGCACGTGTGGTCCTGGGCTTTGTGGGAATCACAAAGAAAATAAAAGAAAAACAAATATAAAAATAAAAATAAAAGGGAGGTGAGTATGGTGCTCTTGACAGGGCTGATGGGAGGAAGGAGCTTACTCTGGCATTAGAACAAATTCATCTCAGAGCAGGGAGAGCTTTGTCCTCTGTCTGGACACTGCAGTGCACACAGGAAAGATCTGAAAAAACATTTGAAACCATTAACTGGGTGGAGGGGGCTGCTGAGCGGCAAGAGCTGCTGCCATTTCACCCACTGTTTTTTCAGACTAACCAGAGCAGCTCTGAGGAGTGAAGGCAGGTGGACCAGAGGCACATTTTTGGGGGAACATCCCTGGCAGCAGGACCAGAGAGGGGAGTCTTAGTCACTTCCATGACCTAGACAGCTGAGCAGAGCACAGTGATGGGGTTTGGTGGTTGAGTTCAGTGATGAAGAACTTCACAGACACCACTTCCAGTGGTTCCTGGGTATTTGGGTTGGTGCTGACCAAGGACTCAGAGCATTTTGTCCCCCCTGTGTTCATCAGGGGTGCAGCGTGGCGCTGTACCAAGTGCTTGTTGTTGCAGCATTATGGCACTGACATTTAGATGTCACAGAATATGAAATAACCCATAATTGCAGTCTAATTGTTCTGCCAGAATTTTATTCTTTCATTATATTGCTGGTCCCTCTGGGGCTGCTCACAGGAATCAGTAGAAAATCACCAGGTAGTTCATTTCTGTGTGCATGTGGCACTACCCAGTCGTTTTTGCATGTTTAATTCCTTCACAACTGCTTTTTTTGCTTGGGTTCTATCTCTAAGAGCATTAACCCATAAAGCCCCAAAGTGATTTGCTTCTTGGCTGTGACTCTGGAACACTGAAGGCGATTTTGCCAGAACTTCTCTCTCCTTTGTCTTTCTGATTGAGCAATAACTGTTGCTTCTGTGAGATTGACTCATAGCCCATCTCTGATAGCACTTGTCAGCCCTCAGGCTGCTTTGCAGAGCCATGAGCACCTTCCTTCCTGGTCCCTGTTGAGCTGCAGGGTGCAAAAGTGGGAATTACTTCCCCACCATCACTTGCAATTCCAAATTTGGCCATTGCCTAGGGGGCTAAACCCAGTAACAAGTCCCTGAAAACCACTTGTGGCTTCTGTCATTCGGTTTCTCCACTGGCACTGTGTGGATGCAGCCTCTCTGTCCCACCTCTAACAGCAGAAGTTTTATGGGTTTAATATTTGTAGATTATGAAGCCCTAGGGAATGGAGAGGTGTTTTATCACAGATTTGGGTAAGAGGATCACTTTCTCCCAGCTTTGTTTACCAAATACATGGAGCCATAGAGGTCTTTTCAGTCTCTCCACCCAGGTTTGCACAGACCAGGCTTAGAAATTTGCCTGTGAAACGCTAGATTTGAATCACCCACCATCAGATGATCCTTCATATTTTGAACATGCACCTCAGTGTCTGGGATTAGCAGGACACTTCTGACTGTAACTGAAATCTAATCTAATAAAAAAGCAAGCTCTCCCCTTGTCTTTTCCTCCATCCACAGGTCAGGGGACCTTTAGCATTTAGCCCTGCAAACACAATTGCTCTTTCAATATGAAAATGCATTTTCTGAGTGCAGAGACATCAGGAGCAAGCACGGAGCTGGCAGCAAATTCTGGCTCCTACTGTCCATCATGGAGACTCTGGATCTCCCAGCCTGACCATCAGGGAGATACCAGACACCCCAGCCTCATCGTTGGAAAGATACAGGATCTGCTAGTCCAGAACTGGGTAAGCCTTTTCCCAAAGAAGTAACAGTGACGTGCTTGTTTGGGACATGGATGGCTACAGGAAAGACAGCACAAGGAGGTCACTACCTCATGTCCAGGGAAGGCATCTCTCTGCCCCAGCCCAAGGGATACAGGAAAGGCCATGGATCTCAGTGGCATTGCTCCAGTCCCATCCTCCCGAGGAGAAGGAAGGAAGGACTCCTCATCCTCAGCTCTCCTTGCCCGGGTGGGGGGAACAGTGGAGCCCGAGGCTCGGCCGGGGACACAAGGCACCTACAGCCCGGAGCCCTGGAGCGGACACACTGCTGGGGGACTCTCAGCCCCTGTGTCTCTGCATTCTGGCTTCTCTAACCTGCAACCCCATCCCCTGCTTGGGCTCCTTCCTCCTCCTCCTCCTCCTCTTCGGCTCAGCGGTGCGCTAGGACCCGGCGGGAGAAGGCGGGGGATGCCGGCGGGAGGTGATGGGGGGTCCCGGGGGTGGAGGTATCCCTGGGGGGGCTGCGGGCGGTCCTGAGGGAGTCCTGGTGATTCCTGCGGGTCCCGGCGGCTGAGGGAACTTCTGGAGGCTCCCGGGAGGTGAGGATCCTGGGCAGTCCAGAGTGGTTCCCAGGGCTGGGGACTCCTGGAGGGTCTCGGGGACTGGGGGGATCCTGACCGCTCCCCGCCCCTCTCCATGGGGAGTTTGCAGGGGAGGGGGGTGCAAAGAGCCGGGCGGCTGCAAGACTAGGGGTGAATCGTTGGAAAGAAGGGAGGGAGGAGCCGGGGTGGGCGGGAAGGCGGGGAGGGGGCGAGGGGGCAGCCCCGGCTCTCGCCGCAGGGTGCGCGGGGCTCCGCCGCGAACGGCTGCGGGGACGATGGAGAACGGCTCGGGAGCCGCGCTGGGCGGCAGCGGCAACCAGAGCCTGGGCAGGATGCCCCGACAGCCCCTGGAGCTGCAGGTGGTCACCATCCTGCTGGTGCTGCTCATCTGCGGGGTGGGCATCGCGGGCAACGCGATGGTGGTGCTGGTGGTGCTGCGCACCAAGCACATGGTGACCCCCACCAACTGCTACCTGGTGAGCCTGGCCGTGGCCGACCTCATCGTGCTGCTGGCGGCCGGGCTGCCCAACATCTCTGAAGTGGTGGCTTCTTGGGTGTACGGCTACGCCGGCTGCCTCTGCATCACCTACTTGCAGTACCTGGGCATCAACACCTCCGCCTGGTCCATCGCCGCCTTCACGGTGGAGCGGTACATCGCCATCTGCCACGCCATCAAGGCGCAGCTCCTGTGCACCGTGTCCCGCGCCAAGCGCATCATCGCCTCGCTGTGGCTCTTCACCTCCCTGTACTGCCTCATGTGGTTCTTCCTGGTGGACACGACCCAGGTCACCTTCTCGGACGGGGCACAGGTCAGCTGTGGCTACCGGGTCTCCAGGAGCCTTTACATGCCCATTTACTTCTTGGATTTTGCTGTCTTCTATGTCATCCCACTGGGGCTGGCCACTGTCCTCTACGGCCTCATTGCCCGCATCCTCTTCATGAGCCCCCTGCCCGCCACCCCGCAGCATTCCCGCCTGGCCTCCGTGCACCAGGGCAGCTCCCTCCAGCTCTCCTGCCGGGCCAGCAAGGGGGCCCTGAGCTCCCGCAAGCAGGTAGGGGCTCCCCGCGGTGCTGGGACACGCTGGGCTGCAGGCAGCACTGCCAGGGGCTCGGGGCTTTGAGGGGCACTCTGGCACGGGACGGGGTGCCACAGTGTTTTGCTTCCCTTTGTGGGGGGAGTGGAGAGGGTTGGTTTGCTGCAAAGAAGCCTCCCCCAGGCCCGGCTGGGGTCTGGCAGCACAGATGGGCTCCCCCTGCTTCGGCTGGGCTTGGTGGAGCAGGACAGGGCTTCAGCACCGCTTGGGAGTGGCGGGAGTGCAGGCATGTTTGCTAGCTGATTAATTACTGATTGCTTCCCCTAGGAGGGGAGGGCTGGGTCACACTGTGCCAGCGAGACTCACCTCTCAGGAAGGGTCCTGGGCAGGTGACCTCGAATTTAAAGGAGCAAAGGGAAAGGAGAGCTTCTTTCTCTCTGAGCCCAGCCCAGGCTGCAGCGCCCTCAGTCCCTGCAGCTGGGGAAGGTCCTTCGATGTCACAGTGATGCGTTTGCCTCTCAGTGATTCCTCTGTCATTCAGCTGCCTGTTCACTGCCCATATCCTTCTCCTTCCACCTCCTTCTGTCCTCATTCCTCCTCTTTCCCTGTACACATGGACAATCACTGCCTCATGTTCCATCTCTTTGGACAGGTCAGTATCTAGACGTGGGACGTACCTGCCTGTTCACTCTCCTGCTGTTTGCAGGAGACCATCCCTTTCTGGATAGGCAGAAAAACTCTCTTTTAAAGGGAGGGGCTGAATTTGGGAGTTTGGTTTGAGTCCTTGAAATAATTTGTTCTGTTGTGATGTCCAGACAGCCCCAAACAGGCAAACAGGCCTGCCCTAAAGTCCTTGTGTTTCCCACTCTCTTGTTGCCTGCCTTGCACAGAAACCTCCATTCCCCACAAGAGACGAGTCAGAGTCTCGGAGGGGAAGCGAACAGCCCACAGAATGTGTATTTCTTCATGCTCTTCTAAGTCTTCCCAGTTCAGCTTTTCCTCCCTTTTTCTCCAGCACTGAAAGGTTTAAAGCGAGTGCCGACTTCTGCAGAAGTATTTGCCTGCTCTCCCAAGGCCACTGGCTGCTGTGGGAGCCTCAGGCAGGGAGTTCAGCAGCGAGGGCTCTTGATACAAGGCAGGTCAATGGGTCTCTCCTTCCAGAGCAGCTGCTGGAGGGGCTGGAGGGGCTGTGCCTCTCCCCCCCGTGGTGCTGTGCCGTGGAGTGGCTGGGCTGCACAAAGGATGCTCCAGCATCATTAGGACAAGTGGCTGTTGGGGCTGGATGAGGGGCACTCCAGTTCCTGGAAACATCTTGTGCTCTTTTTTCCTTTACACTGGGAGTTTACTTGAGATTGTCATTACCTCCTGAAGTATCTCAGCATGCAGGCTTCTCCTGGATGGCCTGCCATCACAGAGCTGGCATCGTTAGGAATAAAGATGGCACTGAGTTTTTAAAACTATAAAGCAGTTTTCCAGGGCTTCCTGTAGCTGAGTGTGTGTAGCTCAGGTGGTCCCTCTGACCAGAGTACAGCCTTCCTCCTCTGGCCTCTCTTTATAGAGGAACTGGTTCTTCCAGGTCCCGTACCCAGAGTCCCCTGGGAGAGATCCTACAGGGGCTACCTCAGAGGTGCCCATTTTTCTCCCTTGACTCTAAAGAGCCCAGATGGCTGGGGGTGTTTTGCTGTGGCTGTGCTCCTACACAGCCCCAGCACTGCGCTGCTTTCAGGGTGTGAAGACGCTGCTCTTCCCTCACTGGTGCCTCTAAAACACTTAAGTCCAGAGCAGGACAACACAAGGTGTAAGTTTTACTACGTTTATCACTGATGACAAACGCCAGCCACCTCCAAGCACTTATTTCACCTGCTAGGGAGGGACCACTAGAGGGAGTGGGATTCCTAAGAAAAGGATACACAGCTCAGGATGACGGTGCGGGAACCAGGAGGGGGGACATTGGCTGGGGAGATGAGCTGCCCCTCAGCTTTGGCATAGAGACCCAGGATGTAGTCAGGAGTCTGTACAGCAGATATCCTTGGCCATCCAGTAACACTGATTCACGTGCTTAAAAGTAGTTTTCAGCTTAATATCAGCTGGTCTGGTAAAACATCCCCTTCTGTCTGCAAACCCGTGTCTTGCTTCTATCCACGGCTCATTTACAGCTGTTCTGTGCACACACTGTGTGCAACAGAGTTGTGGCAAAACACGTGGAAAATTGTTGGCCCTGAGCTGGTGCCACCCTGAGAGAGATGCTTGAAGGCCACAGCAAAGCTCTGGCCTTTTTGAGTTCAGCTCTTTTGTTGGGAGTCATAATTCAGGACCGCTGTATAAAGTGATAAATGTCCCAAACTCTCCTCTGTGCTGATTAGGTTCATTTTTCACAAGAGAACCTGAAGTAAGTTCAGAGCACCTCTAGTTGCTCACCTCAGCAAGGTGGGATGAGGAGAGGCACCAAGACAGGTTTCAGCCAGTCATGCAAACATTGGAGGTTTTTTTTTCCCAGGATGGATTTACGAGAGTGAGTTTGGGATAGACCATTAGGTTTTATCCAGAGGAAACATCCTGTGTCCACAGAACTTTGCTGAAGTCATACCCAGGAGAACACGGTCCATCCAGCTTTAAAAGGCAAATTTCAGTGTTACAGCAAGCTCGGGGCAGGGCTGACTGTCCCAGCCCATGGTCTGGATGTGTCATTCTCAGGGAGCACTGAAGGGATTTAGTGAGACAGATCCTCATGGTGCTGTTCCCACTGGTTTCTCCTCCCAGGACAAAGGCAGTGCTTTCTTGCAGGGCTGTAGGACACAGCAGGAAGTGCTTGTGTGGTGACAGCACTTTGTGGTCCCCTGTGGGCTGGGAAGAGGTGTTGAGAGCTCGCTCAAGTGGGAGCTGGGGCAGTGCTCGCTGGCACCACAGGCCTTTCCATAGCAACCAGTCAAAAATGAGGGGCAATTATGCCTTAAAAGCAGATGAATCCCTGGTTCTTTTCCAGAATACATTTCTTTTGGTCTCAGAAAGGACTGGAATGAACTTACTGTTCAGCCTTATTAGGATACACTCCCCTGGTGTTGTCGCTTAGATGCAGAGTTCAGATCACTCTTCACAAACATCGTGAGTGGCTGAGCAGTAAAATGAGGCAGGGACTGACAACAGCCAAAAAGCCAAAGAAGTTTCAGCCTCAGGAGGTGGCACAAGAGCAGGATTAACGTGTCAGCTTTAAAGGAGACATTTTAGCCCTACAGAAACCTCCCTGCAGAAGGCACCTCCCAGAGAGCAGAACAAAGTATAAAAGCTCAGGGGTTTATTTTCTCCATTCCTGTGGGGAAAAACTTTGCATCTTGAGACAATCACTGGGTGAAAAGTACCTGTATCTCAGTAAGGCCCTGCAGAGATGGGCTGCTGCAGAGATGGGCTGCTTTCCCAGGACACATTTTCAGCAATCCTGCTGCCCAGGACTGCTGAAATTGGTGGAAAGACTCCCACCAACCCTACCCCTCAAGAAAGCCCTTTAACAGGGACCCTTCCAGAGAGGACAGGGATGAATTCAGTCTCTGCGTGGCATGGAAAAGCACAGAGCCTGCCCTCTTCTCCCAGGAGTAAATTGCTTAATAGAGGGGAATTAAATCCTGGCTGAAATGGTACTTAGGATCACTTGAGCCGAGGAGTGGTTTGCATTTTTCTGTAGGGTACAGCTATTAGCTGTTCAGGTGAACTTCATTCAGGTTATTGGGAAATAAACCCCAGATGCACCAAAGATATGGTAGGAGCAATTCCCTCTGCAAACCTGAGCAGTGGGTCTGTGGAAGGAGGCTGGCTGAACACTCCATCACTGCTGGGTCTGTTTGCTGTAAGGATGATTAAAACAGTAGAGAACACAAGTCCCATCCATATGCCCTGCCCCTGGGGCATGCAGGACGAAGCAAAATCTGCTCCTTCCTGGGTTTATCTGGTGTCAGGAGCTCTCTGCTCCCAGCTCTTGCAGGGCAGACCACAGCAATGTGGTTTCACCACTGCTGTCAGGATGCTCTTCCCTTGGCAAGGGGTGGGTGAGCCTGCACTGCCCTGCCAGCCTTGGCCGAGGTGGTGGCTACAACCGTGCTGGTTTGTAGAGATTTTGGTCATGGTCACTGTGTGCCAGGCAGCCCCTGTCCAGGAGTAATTCTATAAACCAGATTTTCACACTAGGTAGGGTGGCCTAAAACCAAAAACTCGTGAGATGTGTCTTGCTCTTCTGGATCCAGCGAGCCCTTGTAAAGGCATTGCAAAGCTCTGAAGCTTTTACTGACACCACTTGCACGTTCTCTCATATCTTTCCCAAAAGGCAGCAAACTGTGGCAGCAAACAAGCTGGAGTCTTAGCAACAGCCTCAGCACTCATTGTATCACTGTGAGATCTTATTCTGGGAAGTGTCCTCACATTTCCATTAAACCACACACAGCAAATCCCTTCTATTTTGGCCTCAGCTTGATAACAGTCCCTTTCTTGTAGGGAAAGTTTTGTTGCCACTACCAACCACCCCCCAGTTTCTACTCACAGCATTACAGGAAGGCATAGTTCCTTGTGAGGAAGTAAAAAAAGCACTCCAAGAAAAGTTGAGAGACTGTAAATGTGATCTATGATTATTTCCATACTGAGAACTGGAGTTATTGCACAACTCCCGTCCTGACGTTCGGAACACCACTGCCTTGATATGTATGTGGCATCAGTGTTTAGTCATATTTTCCTCCATGGGGACGTGTGTATTTTGTAAGTATTTGTTGGAGGAGGATTGTCACCTCCCAGAAATAGCTGTTGAAATTATTAGGATCACTGGGGTTTCAGTACAAACACCCATTTTCCTAAACAAGCTTATGTCGAGCTGAGGGCAATTACTGCTCACTTCTGAATTCTCAGTTTCTTCTTGTTCCCACTATGTTAATGTAGTACTTCCCAGTGTGCTGCAAATTAAAATAACCCATGCCAGTTAGCTAAGTAACTCCCATATCAGCACAAGGAGGGATTTCTTTAAGACTCCTTACAGTCTCCTCTGCCCCCATGTGTTGCTCTGTATCAGGAGCCTATTTCCTGGAACAGTATATCTGATGTAGGAAACCAGGAAACCCTAGGCAGGGAGATGAGATATATCCTATGACACTCCCAAAACTTAGGTCTCCATCTTTGGACAAGTATTTTCCCCGTTGGTTTATTGTTAGGTACAACTGTCAACTTTTTTTTTTTTTTCTGGTACAGAAATTTCTATGATTATCCCAGCCCACTTCCAGGATGGTGGATGGTTCTGAAGCATTTTAGAGGATCTTCCAAGGGTAGATGAAAACCTATAATTTAAGGGTTTATTTATGCAAGATTGTTTCCTGAGAAAAATAGTTTCAGAGACGAAGAGCTCCATGGTTTGGGTGCCTATTTTAAATGCTTAAAGAGAGATAGAATCATAGAATCATAGAATCATAGAATCATAGAATCAGCTGGGTTGGAAGGGACCTCTGAGATCATCAAGTCCAACCCTTGGTCCACTACCACTGTGGTTTCCAGCCCATGGCACTGATGCCACATCCAGTCTTATCTTAAAAACCTCCAGGGACAGAGAATCCACCACTTCCCTGGGCAGCCCATTCCAATGTCTGATTACCCTCTCTGTAAAGAAATTCTTCCTAATATCTAACCTAAACCTCCCCTGGCACAGCTTAAGACAGAAGCACTATGTAGACTAAATGAGGTGTCTGCAGCACTTCTCTAGGCAGGAAAGTTCTGCTGGAGGTTCAGCATCACCTGACTGTGTCTCTTTTTTCATATCCCCACTGGGAAGGTGACCAAAATGCTGGCTGTGGTGGTGGTGCTCTTCGCCCTGCTGTGGCTGCCTTACCGCACGCTGGTGGTGGTGAACTCCTTCATGGACCCTCCCTACCTGAACACCTGGTTCCTCCTCTTCTGCCGCATGTGCATCTACCTGAACAGCGCCGTCAACCCCATCATCTACAACCTCATGTCACAGAAGTTCAGGGCTGCCTTCAGGAAGGTGTACAAGTGCGAGGAGAAGCGCCCTGAGCCCCCCGCCCCGTGCGCCGCCCCGGCACCCTACAGCATCGGGAAGGACTGTTCCCACGACAGCTCTGAGCACATCACCCACCAAGAAGACCTGAACAGGCTCCCTGCAAAGAAGAACAAACAAATCCTGGGACCCTGAAACTCTGCAGGCAGTGGGGGCTGTGTGGCTGTGTTGGGAAAACGCCAAGGGGAATCGCTTTGGCGCTGCAGCAAGCTGCATTTAACACTTCTCCAGGGCATTTAACAAAGCACATTGTTAAAGGCAAATCAGTTTGCTTTTCCTTCACGCTAATTTATTCTTGTTTGGTGAAGTGTTAGGCACGGGTCAGTGTTTAGCATCTTTAAAGCATCTACTGTAAATACAGCAGTGCAATGCCATTCTCTGTTATGTGCCAAGTGCAGTTGCTTGTTGAGCTGGGCCAAAGCATTGAAAGGAAACCCGGGAAGAGAAGAATATTCAAGGAAATAAAAGCAACCTCTTTTTGCTGGACCCATTTTTCTTAGAGAGTGAGACTCTCCTACCTAAATTTACATGCCTCTGACACGGACACCCTATGGGAGCTGCTTCTCTAGAGACCTTATAGAGTTAATGGGGACAATTAGGCACTTCTAAGTAGTGTCTCCGCTCATCTCGGCACAGTCCTGTGAGGAATACACAGTCCTGCTGAGGAGATCAACGCCTCCCAAGATGTGACTACTTCCTATTGTAAAGGGATTCTCTCTAGTGGGGACAATAACCAAACTCAGGTGTCATTAACATGTCGTGTCTCTGGAAGCATCACAGTTCTCGCAGCACAGAAACCCAAGGTCCAGACCAGTTGAATTTGTCACAGAAAAGTGAACAAACTAATACTGAGTTTTCCCCAAGGTAACAGTAATACTTCCAGCATTGTGGTCTAAGTTTCTTTTGGATAATTTTACCTTTCCTGTCCAAATTCCTCTAGTCCTTTCAGTTGGAAACTGTACCCTTGTCCTGAAAGCCTCAGTGTGGTGCAGTTGTGTACTGGAGAGGAGAGCTTCCCATCCCAGCTACAGTTGCCTTTCAATGGCAGGCGAAGAAATTTTCTTATTTCCTGAGAATAAGTTGTGAAAGTCCATCAAGTGTTTCGTGGTAAGTGACACATTTATTGCTGCTGTCATCTTGTGAGCAAAGTGGATATTCATAACCTTCAGCATCCAAGAAACCAGCCCAAGAACACTTGACCCAGACTTGCAAGAGACTATCTGGACTAAGAGTAAAATGAAACAGATTACACACGAGCCAAACCCTGAGGATCTCGCCAAGTAAAACAAGTCTCAGCCACCAGTAACCCTCAAGTGACTGCAAAAAATTATTTGAACAGCCAGTGCAGCCTTACTAGTCAACATTGGTTTTCAGCAAACTGTAGTGTTAAAAGATCTTAGAATTTTGCATCCACTCAGGAAAAATATGTGTGTGTTTAAGAGCATAAGATGTGGGTAACCATTCTGCATCACTTCACTGGGTGAGTCAGGATAAGACCTCAAGTTCCCCTGGTGTGTCAGAACTGTCCAGGACCTATTTCGTTGTGTGTAGAGTGGTTTTGCTTGTATGATAATTATATTGTGAGTTATTAATTATCTACTTTGCCCCTAAAATTACTGTAGGATGAGGGAAGAGAACATTGTTTTTTGCAATTATTTGAAACACAATGTATTTGGAATTTAAGGGTTCATGCCACTTTTGCACTCTTTTGTGTATATTGCGTATATTGGGAATTTAGGCACAGAGTTCCTATTTATTGTTGTTACGGAAGTTCTGCAGAGGCATTTGGGATTTGCTTCTTGAAGAAGATGGAAGTGTTTTTGCTAACATGGGAGAATTTGCTTGTAACAATATTTTCTCTGGTACGGATTTTGTTTTTTTTCCCCTTAGAACAGATATTTCCTTAGCAGCTCAGAACAAGCCATTGATAAAAGCATCAAACCAGAGCAGCAAGGATCAGGGAGGAGGAAGAGGAGCCCTGGGCCATTGCTGGGGCCTCCCTGGGGCCTCAAGCACGGGCAGCATCTCCTCAGGGATGGGCTGTCCTGTGGCCCCCAGCCTGTCACCCTGAAGCTGTGGGTGCAGAGAGCAGCAGGGAGGCCAGCCTTGCCCCGAGGCCATGTGGGAAGAGGATTTACTGTCCGAGCTTGGAAACCCACTTGCATCCTGACCTAAGGCATTTTTCAAGCATGGGATGTGCCTTTGACAGCCTTGATCTCTGCCAACACAAGGAGCAGCTTAACTCCAAAGTATCTCCAACAGGATATTTTCCACCTCCTCATCACGTTTCCAGTCTTCACTGTTCCCGTGTATGTTTTTCCCCCCCTGGAGAGAGACGTTCTAAAAGCACTATTCTCTTAATTAAATTTCATCCTCAGGCTGACAGCTAATTGATAGTTCTGAAATTTCTGTTCAACGTACTTAGGATTCAATTAAAACCCAGTTCTGTTCTCCCCCCTTCTGCCCTTAGCTGCCAAGTACAGCATGACCCTGTGTTATTTTTTGAGAAGTAATTGGCAGATAAACTCCCCTGGCACCACGAGTTCTCCGGCAAACGCACCAGAGCGTTAAACTCTGCAGATGAGGAATGAGTTCCATGAGTTCCTGCTCTTCCCCCCTGCATGTATTCTGACACTTTAGGAGGAGCTGAGAGAGTTTTAAGTGGAAGTGGAGGCAGAAGGTCAGCACTCAGCTTGCTAAAGAGATGCTGGCTAAGAGGACAGGCAGCTACGTGCTGCTGGGAAATAAATCACTAGCAGAAAGGAATTAAAAGAATTAACTCACCACCGTAACTTCCTCTGGATATCCAGGGCTTGAATAAAAACCTCAGTTCCTTGTAAGAAATCAAAGAGCTCCCTTCAGGCTTCAGCCTTCAGCCTTGCATTGTACCTTGCAACATCCCACCCTACTCGTAAAGTCTGAAGCTGTATTTTACCCTCAGCATTTATTTGTCTCAGTGGCATGAGTGTAGGCTGTGAGTTTATAAATATGCCATCAAATAAAGAATCTGTTGCTCCCAAATAATCAACCACATTGAAGCTGCTCCTCAGGTTAATCTAACCTGCTACATTCCTAATTAAAGCTCATTATTTCTAACCCCTGCCCTTCCAGTGCCTGTTAACCTGCTTAAACACAATCTGGTTTCTTCAATTACAAACAAACAAGTCCCCTGGCAGGAGAGGAGGGACCTGGTACTGCTGCAGAGCCTTGGGGAGAGGGGAAGAATTTGTGAGCAGTGCAAAGAGGGGGATGGAGGAGGCAGAGCCTTGGGGAAGGGCTGCTGGGAGAGGGGTGAGTGAGGTTTCTGGGCCTGAAGAACCACAGGTTGGCTGAAGCTCCTCGCATTCATCAGGGACTTTCAGTCTAGGAGACACCACATCCGGCATGTTTACCTGAATCTGGCTGGTCCCAGGGACAGAGCCCACACAGTAAGTACATGGGACCTCAGCAGGGATTATGTACTCCTGGAAAACACACGAGGTTAAATAACTTATCAAAATCTTTAGTTTAAGCCCCAGTCAGATTGTCTTCTTACCTTGTCTTTTTGAGTGGTGGAATATTGGGAAAATTGGGCATCTCTGCCAGCCTGTGCCAGAGGAGAGCATGGCCATGCTGATGGCTCTCTGGGAGAGCCTCTCCCCTACAATACTGGCCAGCACTCCAGAAGCCAGCCTGGCCCAGGGCCACGTTAGGAAGTGACCCACAAAACACCAGCAGCTCCCTTAACAAGGGGCAAAAAGGCCATGAGGGTTCCCAGCACCTCCCTGCAACCAGAGCAGGCTTTCACTCCGTGGTACCAGCCTGGGGAGAGCACAGGACAAAGATCAAATAGTGGTACCTTTAAATCAATAATACTCAGGTCACTGAAGACAATGCTGAGCAATTCCTTAATTTTTTCAGAGCCACAAGAAAGCGTGGACCACACATTAGGGAAGGGATTAGATACAGCACCTCTTCAATCTGGTCTGGCCCCCGGCTGCTTCTTTGAGCTAATTAGTTCAAGCAGGCCACAATTAAAGAGATGCTGTTAAAGCCAGGGGATTGTCCTACAGCAGTATTAATGTAATCACTCAGCAGTTTTTTATTTTGCACTTCATGTGCACTTCAAGGCTTCTGGAGGGCTCTTTGGCCAGCGTTGCCCCCAAACCTGCCTGCTCTCTGCACTGGCTCAGGGGTTGCTCCTCAGGACTCCTCAAACCAAGGCATCTGTTCCAGAAACACGATGGGACACACAGCAGATCAAAGCTTGTCAGTCCTGCAGGACTGATTTTTACTAATATACCCTCAGTTCAGCACTTAGGTTAGCTAACTAGGCTAGTTATCCCTGCACATTTCTGCCCTGCCAGGGTCTAAATGCAGGCTCCAGTGGGAGGGCATTGCCTGTGCCCCAAATCCCGGGTGCTTTCCCAGCTATTGCCTGAGGGAGGGAACATGACTGTAACACCACAGGGTCCCTGTGACATGGGTATCATGTCACAGAAGTATTAAGGACAATCTGCTTTATAATTGCTGAATTTTCTTTAATAACCACCTTATGCATTGGGCTCTGAGTGTGCCGTTTCTATAGAGACAGGGGATGCTGACACTGCGCTGGTGGCCGCTCGCTGCTCCTCCAGTAGGGAATGAATGCCTGAAGCCACAAGCTGGGAAGCTTTTAAAAGCTTTTTCCTCTCAAGGAGGAGGTCCTGGGGTGGTCCTGGTGATAATGTGATTTTGAGATCCTCAGTGAGGGCCCACGGTGCTCCCAGGGTGGCTGATCCTCTCTGCCCTTGTGGGCACAGTGTGAGTGGCTGCTCAGAGGAAATAAAATAAAAGCAACTTTTTCCACTAGTGCAGTGCCAGCATTTCTGGCAAAAGAGAAGAGGAGAGGGTGGCCACTGTGGGGCCCCTTGATGCCAGCCCTGAGCTGGGCATGGCATGCCCTTGGCTTTCAGAGCAGGCTGGGGCCAGGCATGGGAAAACATTTCACTGGAGTTGCTGATGGTGTCTGTTACTGCTCCTGGGACTCACACTGGCTTCCTCCAGGAAGGGTCCCAAAGCAAAGGCAGTGGTGTGGAGCCAGCCCCATTCCTGGCTCCTAGGCCTGAAGGGAGCACAGGAACCCCTCTGCACGTTCTCCCTGCACCTACTCCCTGCCAGGGCCACCCTTACCCCAGCTCTGGCCCTTCCTCTCGTGCAAAGATGAAGGCCAAGAGAAAAGGTTGCTCCTGAGAGCCCCGATGCCCTGCAAGGACAGTGGAGCTGTCTCCAGGATGCCTGGGCAGGTCACTGTCAAAGGACACTGGGGCTCAGATTGCACCTTCCCTCCCGCCAGTGGAGGGTGAGGCTGCTGCCCTTCGACACAGGATCAGGCCAGTGCCTTTAGCCAGGTTCTCACATATCAGACACCTCCCTGCCCACCCCTGGGGACACTCAGATGGACAGAGTGGGGGGGACATTACCCCTGAAATCAGCAGCTATTGAGGCACAGACCCCAGCACTGTTCCCCCTACCCTGGGGAAGGTGCAGGCTTCTTGTTCTGCCTTTATTAGTACTTTTAAAGCAACATGTCATTGCTTTAGCAACCGACCCACCTCCCTGCTGCTTCTGCCACACATGGGCCAAAGACCTGCTCCATTCATCAGCCTGAGATTTATGAGGTGCACAGGGCTCCAGTTACCCTGCTGCCCCCAGCTGATGAATGAGATGCGGCTGGTTCCTCGCATACCAGAAGCAAAACAAGC